AGTGTGTTTAATCTCAATTAACACAGAGCAAAATGCCACTCTTGTTCTTGAAATAACAGGTGGAGGAAGCCCAAACTACAGGACTGTGGGCCGGGAAGAGCTGCAGGATGGTAGCACACATTCCCCAGCAGATGCTCAGCGCTTTCGTCAAAAGCAATTTAACAAGGAAGAACTCCCAGTGGCCCACCAAGTGCTTGGTGAGGTTGCCCTGCAGTTTCCAGAAGGATTGATTTGGGTCCCAGGATGAATCCAGGGAGTTCTCACATAAGCCTTGGCTCCAGCCATGTGGTAGAGCGTTTTTATCTATTTGGGGAGAATAAGTGAGAACTCCCCTTTCTTTAACCAAGCCTAACGAGCTGAACAGTACAAAAAATGATGCATGGAAATCCCAGCCTAAACATATACAGTCAAAACCATGTTTGCAACAAAAACAATGTTTTTATTTTTATAATTTTATTCTAAAATTTTAAATATTATTCAGAGCTCATAGACCCAGCCAAAGTTGTGTATGCATGTCCTATGGGAAGGCTTGTCTTCTCTTTGACATGTCCAGGAAAAGGAGTTCTGTAAGATTTTTAGACAGGGAATTTATAAGTAAGTCACATTTATAACTTTTTTCTAAGAAAATATTGAAAGACTATTAAATATCTAATCACCTATCATCACCAGGCATTTATTAATTTCTCATATATATGGAGCCTTCAGAAAGTTCATGGAAAATGTGTATTATGAAAAAAACTATGCAAGGGTTTCAAAATTTTGTACCAAAATAAACTCATACTTTAATTACATTTTTTACTAGCTTTTTGAAGTCCTTGCATATAATAATAAACTCATTTTCCCTCCTTTAATTTTCCCTTCTTATATAAGCATTCTATGGACTGAACTGTGTCCTCCATAATTCTTATGTTGAAATTTTAACCTTCAATGTGTATTTGTAGACAGGGATTTTTGGAGTAATTTAAGATTTAATGAGATCATAAGGATAAGAGTGCGGCCCTAATCTTGTAGAACTGATGGCCTTGTAAGAGCAGGAAGAGATCTCTCTTTCTCTCTTTCTCCTTCTCAGCGCTGGCACAAAGGAAAGGCCACCTTAAGACATGGTGTGAAGGCAGCATCTACAAGCCAGAAAGAGAGTCCTCCCCAGACAGAAGGACTGACACCTCTTTTCAGACTTCCAGCCTGCAGACTGGGAGAAAATAAACGTTGCTTATTTGACTCTCCCAGTTTATAGCATTTAGTTCTGGAGGCCTGAGATGACTAATACAAAGCACAAGTTTGCTTGTTCTGGAGAGGCCCTCTGACTTTATTCTGGAGGCTCCAGTGTCCACAGGAGTGGGTACTGGCCTCCCTGTGCTCTGCCTCAGGTGGCTACAACTGCACCCACGACTTCCTTGACCGCTATGTCTGGTTCTTCCTGTTCTTCCTTGACTCAGAACTTCCCTTGCCAATCTGTTTTTTATTTCTTTGCCTATCTCAAAAAAGGCAATTTCCCAATCTTCCACTAGTTATATTTTATCTGAATACAGTTATTTTCTGTGCAGTGTAATTTACATTTCTAAGTGTGTCCCATGGAGGCCCTTCTCTATGAACACTGCAAAGCATATGGTTGGCAGCAACGTCGATGCAGACTTGAGGTGATTCAAACGCCGCTTTCTTTAAAATGCTTTGAGCAAAGAGCTCATCAGTTGGTCCCATGAGAATGGTGAAGCCAAAAATGGAATCAAGGGTTATAACTCTATCCCTATAGAAGATTGAATTGGACTGGTATGAACTGAATTGAAGAGATGAAAAAAATACAAACTAAAACAGTGTTCTAAAGATTTCTCAAACCTTAGCAAAAGAAAATGGATGCAAAGCTCAGAACAAAGTAGTAAGACCTCATGACATGCTCGTGGGAAGCTCAGTATTCATGGATGTGCATTAAAGAGAAATGACACAGGTGAATGAATGAGGAAAAAATGAGGATTCGAACAGGCTGGAGAAGATACCAGCTTCTCTGTGCATGGGGCAATAGAGCTGTATTTTCCAGGTCGGCTCTACAGGTGAACAACGTCGTCCATGTGAGCCACACCAAAGACAGGGTCAAGATCTGTGAGCTGAGTACCATGGCTTCTTTGACTTTGCTCAGCTCAAGATCCGTGGGAGGTACATTCTCAGAATTCCATCTCTGTGTCACCAAGTTGGTGTGCATGGACTCTTTCCAAAAGGACTCAAACAGGCTGTAGAATATCTGAAATGAAAAATTAGAAAAATCTCATTTTCAATTACTTGAGATCTAAAGAACCATGTTAAATGATAAACATAGGCACCTTACAACTCTGAGTTTGAGCATACACTATTCATGAACTAGGCAGCACCAGACCATGAGAGATATGGGGCTCCATGGAAAGCAGGATGGAAAACTTGTGTAAGGTGTGAGGACAAACAAGGTGAAGAAAAATATTTGCTTCATTGTAGTGGAAATTCCCTGGTGAGAGGTTAGTTGGCTGTTTCAGATAGGCGGTCTTTAGAGGCTAGTTGGTGGTTTCAGACTTCATTTTGTTTCCTAGGCTGTGATCATTTGTCCTCAGTTGGGTGGGGTTTGCTGTGTAGAAGCTCAGGCCCTAGAACCATTTCAGCCTAATCGCTCCTCAAGAAATTCTGTTTTTAACAATGATATTAATCATAGCTAGGAGGCATTGAGAATTTCTACATCAAATCCTGTTCAAAGTCACTGAAGAGCATTGTTTCACTTGAACCTCACAGCAAACTGGTGAGACTGGAGCTGCTATCATGCAGTTTACAGAGAGGACAGTAGATGCACCGAGACATGGAGGACTGTTTGCAAGGGCACGGCGAGGATCTGGTGAGCTGGATGTCCCGGGGCACTCAGTCCAGGGGCTCTGATCTTGACCTTAGTGCAGAAGTGCCTGTCCATGTAACCAAGCTGTCAGTGAGCCCTGAGTCGAATGCCCTGGCAATCCACTTGTCATCCTTGTCCTGACTCCCCATCATTCCCTCCATGGTCATTTTTAGAAGACTCAGCTGAAGCTCTGCCTCTTCTATCTTCGACTTTGTTCCTTTGCTTTGCCATGTTGATAGTGAAGCATTGCTGACGAAGACTCTTTCTGGTTGTTTGGAAGAGTGCTTTGGTGTCCTCCTAGTCACCTAGGTCTCTCCCTCCCCCTCCATCTTTTGCCACATTGGACGCTTTGTATCCTTTTGTTGACCTATAGTCGACCTATAGGGTCTGTCAGAAACCTGGGGTCTGAGGTAACCACTCGGAAGTCCCCAGGGTTCTGCAGAGCTTCTGAGAGAGCTCACTTGGGGAAGGAGAGTTCTGGCAGCTGATGAGGAAGGCCTTGGACATGGGAGGATGAGGAGCTTTGAGTACAGCTGGCCTGCTCACTCCAACGAGTTTCAGGTCTGGTTCCCCAAGGGCAGGGTCCCAAGAGGGTGGGGGTGAGTGAGACCTCCTTCATTGAAACCGTCAGCAGGCTGCAGGTGGGGTGAAGAGGTGGTGAGAGGGCAGGTGGAAGGAACAGCCCCCTCTCATGCTGTGCCTGTGCCTGTCCCACCCCACGTGGGGCCTCCTTGCACTTCGCATTAGGGGCTCCACCACTTGGTTCAGTGCCAGTCATCATAGGTCCAGTTGTGTTCTTTTGTCCTCCTTCCAAAACAGCCTTCAAACCCCAGAATGTGACCTATGACGTTACTTAGAAATAGGGTCTTTACAAAGGTAATCCAGTTAGAATAAAGTGGCTAGGCATCCTTATTAAAGGAAGAAAAGAAAATCTGTGCACAGAAACACTCGCACAGGGCGGAGGCATTGAGGAGGAAGGCAGAGGTCGGCACGGGGCAGCCACCAGCTGCGGAACACCCAGGGTGGTCAGTGACCACCAGAAGCTGGGGAAAGACCTGCGTCTGCTTCTCTGTCAGGGCCTCCAAGAGGCTGATCCTGCTCGAGCCCTGATCTCGGACCTGTAGACCTGGGAGGTGATAAACATCTTGTTTGAGTTCCAGTTTGCAGAACCCACCCCACCCCAGGTAATTTATTTCTTTCTCTCTCTCTCTTTCTCTCTCTCTCTCTTTACATTTAATTATTGTACATCTTCACAGCATACAAAATGAACTTTCCCAGGATAAATACACCACATAGTAGTCCAATCAAAGATATTACCATACATATTATCATCAACAGATAATTTTTAATTTTTTTGTCCGTTAAATGTTTTGCTTTGTTCCCCCTTGATTCCCTCCCTCCCACCCCACCATTGCTTACCCTCTTCTCACACTGTCTCTAGTATCCACAGTTGCTCTCCATGCTCTTATTTTCTTTTAAAAGAATTAATTAAATAATTTCAATTTGCTATAGGACACATGTACTCATGGGGGGGGAAGAGAGAGAGAGAGAGAGAGAGAGAGAGAGAGAGAGAAGCAAGCCTTCAGGTTTGGGACTCAAACAACAGTTGACCAAGTGGGAGTTCAGTGCCCTAACCACCACACTACCTGCTGGTCCCTCTCCATGCTTTCATACCTTCCAATCTTTCAGTTTCTGCTACAGAGTGCACATATTTGGTATATATTAACTGGGAACATACAATGCCTCTTTTTCATAGTCTGGCTTGCTTTCCTTAGCATTAAATCTTCCATATTCATCCACTTTCTATCAAATGTCAGAGTCTCATTGTTTTCTATGGCTGAGTAGTATTCCATAGTGTATATGTGCCACACTTTTTCAACCCATTCACCTGTCCTTGGACATTTGGGCTTATTTCATGTCTTAGCAATTATGAATAATGCTGCAATAAAGATGGATGTGCAAGCGTTTTTCTGAGCATATTTCTATCCTTTGGGTAGGTACCAGGAGTGGAATTGGTGAATCCATCAATGGTAATTCTCTTTGCAGGTTTTTGAGACACCTCCACATGCTGCGGTCCTTTGTTACATAGCCTAAGAAAGCTGGTCACTACAAGTAGGGCTGCCTCCATGCTCAGAGTGAACAGTGCATAACCTGCCATGTGGGGAGAGAGTCACGAATCCTCTCCTCTTGCGGTAGGAAGGGGTGGGCACTGGTGGCTCCCATCCCAGCTATCTTGAGGGCAGGACAAGAGGGTAAAGGTGTGAGGCCTGGGGGAGGCAGGATCTTGGTGGTTTCTAGGTTGACCGTGGACACCACAGTGGCACTCCTGGATAAGGGGGTCATGGGAGCGGTCACAGTGGGAGTGTCCTGTGATGCTTCTTCCAAACACATATAGAACCCTAAGGACCTCCACTCCTAATGGGAACTGGGGACTGTATGAGGCTAGATGTCTTCAACCAGGAGCAAGAAGGTTGGAAGGACTTGCTAAAGTAGCGTGACAAGCTGTTTTCTGCACAGCTGTGGGACACAGAGGGCTTCAGTCTGCAAGGGAGGCACTGTCTCCTTTCAACGAACTTGGCGAAGGGATGGACACTCTTGTACACAAAGGAGGGGCTGTGTCGGGTGAGGTCGTGCGGTTTTTAGACTTTGGAGAGTGCACTGGAAGGAAAGCCAGAGTCCTGAATTCTACCCTGCAGATTCCCAGTAACTCCGAGCACCTGCACAGCCATGCCAAGCCCCATTCACTCAACTGAGGATGCCTGCTTCCGCATCGCACATAGTTGGCAAGTCATGCTCACGAGACTTCAGTGACACCCTCCTCGCACCATAGCCCACCCTTAGTGCTAGTAAGACACGGGCATGAAGGGGCCTGCACCTCTCCAGCAACTTCTACATCCCGTCTGCTTAGCCGGACTGAGACTCTGCACTGCTGGCTCTCAGGGGACTTTCACAAGAATCTGCAGCCTCCCATGACAGAGAGCAGGTGGGGAGCTCAAACAAAGGCAGGAGTTAGTGCCACTGAGATGGCAAAGCCAGTGTCCAGGGCCACAGCCAGACCTGAGAGGCTCCCATCGACAGGCGGGTAGCCTTGAGAAGCAGCCAGTGGCCCCGCTGAGTGCTGGGAGGGACCTGCCCATCGTAACCATTGCAGCTGGTCTCTTGTGCCTTCCTGGAGAGTAAGGTGTGGTTTGCAACCTTTGAATCAGGTGGCTTCTTCTTGGGCATCCCCAGTTCACCCTGCATCTTCCTCTCCTCTCGGCTGTGGGTCTGGGCATGTGCTGGCTCTGACTTCTAGCAGCCAT